ACGTTTGATAGCATCAATGACCTATTCATAAGCCAGAGGGTCAAATGGAAAGTAAGAAAGGAAATTGGTATTAAAATTGATGTCTTGTTTTAACTTACTCAGATTAGATTCTTTAATGTATTTTAGCCTTTGAGTCTCACTGAGAAGACACATTGCCAGTGATCTTCGCACATGAGATTTCTTCTAATTGGAAAACAACTTAAATGATTGTTTTGTCAAAATGTTTATCATGGAGCTTATCACACACTATTTTAGAATGGCAAAGTTCGATCCACATGCTGCAGGGAACTTACTCAGCATTTATAGTCCATGGTGCAATTACATTGATTTCAACATGACAAATGCTAACATTTGTAGCCCTTCTAATGGATCTCCAAAAACTGTCCAAATAAGCTAGCTTTAACAACTCTAATGTGGACTGGCCTCAGGTCATATTTAGGAATCTAGTTTCTAAAAACATGTAGAAATTTCCCTTCAGCTTCATGTGTAACTTTCAAAAGACCTAACATATTAATTAGATTGAAGATTAAAGTCAATTATTTTTTTGGTTGTGAGCCTAGCCTTTAACAGCTGAGCCATCTCTCCAGCCCAAGTCAATTATTTTTTAATCTCAATTTTAGTATTGATATCAATTATTAGTTGAGATTAAACTCCTTTTTAAAAAACTGTATTTTTCCCCATTAAGAACATAGAAAATAGATTTAATATAACCCTTTTTGTATTTCCAGATTCATTCTGATGATAAGATTAAACATTTAATCCTGTATTTAAGTATGAAAAATATGTACAGGGTTACTGGGAACATTATATCAGGCACTTGTGTTCTAGGAAATCTACTTCTACAGGAATTGAAGTACCTTCTGCTTCTGCTGGTGACCTTTGTATCATCTTGTCCCCATTCTGCTGGAGAGCAAATTAGATGTCCTAATAGATACACACAAGTTCCAACACCAGCTACCTTACAGGGTGTCCAACCTGTGGCTTACGGGCTCCAAGCGGCCACAGGCAGCCAAGAACAAGTAAGAATACAGCTTGACACAAGACTATAAACTTACTAAAATGTTTTCCCAGGTTTATCTCTTTCTTTCTTTCTTCTTCTGGGAGAAAAGAACTAATATTGCAATGCAAGATGAAAACCCCAAACAAAAAATGCATTTATTAGAGAAAAAGATAGGTAACTACATTTGCTTACGATGCTTCTCCCACAGATCCAGGAGCTTGAACAGGGAGCTCCTGTGTTAACTGTATCGGAATCTGTCCTTTGATGACTGCACAAAGCTGAAACAGACACTGCACTTGGCCATCACAATCACAGGACAACCGTGAACTAGTTGACAGTCAAGTCACTCTAATGCCTAAAGTGAGTCTATTCAGACCCTCAGACCGGTCAACAGTTTAAATTAATAATAATAATAAAGATAAGAAGGCCAAAACTTTTTCTTCCTGAGCCTTGCAATAAAAGGCAATCTTGACTCTTGGTGACAAGTTCAAAGTTCATTGCATTCTCTACTATCAATATAAGTTTTTTTCTTTTCTTCTCTTTTTTTTTTTTTTGGAAGTTCTATAACTTGGGAGTTGAAGGTGTGGACTCTAGAATTCAACAGGCCAGGATCCAAATCCCTGTTCCAGGAATTATAGTTCAGCCATGGACAAGCCACACCTCTGAGCCTCAGTCTTTTATGAGGCAGCATGCAACAAGCCCAGGCCAACACAGCTGAAATGTAGGATTTACACTTTGACACCAGATAAATGTGGAGGTCACATCCAGGACTTGTATGTCATATCCAGGCAGCTGTCATATACACTCCTACCCCGCTCCACCCTCCCAAGGGTGTATGTTCAACTTCACAGCCCAAGATGCCACTAGGAACTCCATCCATTTCACCCAAAACTCAGCTCACAGGACCATGGAAAGGACTGGAATGTAAATTTCTGTCTCCTCCCAGGTATTTGATCAAATACCACACACTACATATTTCCCTCCCTCTTTGCTTCCCTCCTTCCTTCTTTCCTTCCTTCTTTGATCCCTCCCTCCTTCCTTTCTTCCTTGATTCCTCCTTTCTTCTCCTTCTCTCCCTCCCTCCTCTTTTTCCTTCTGGGTTTTCATTCATTTGTTAACAGATTTGTCAGAGGCCCCTTGTTTTGACTAAGCTCCTGTACTGGGCCCAACAGTCCAACAATATAGGATCACTTACACTAAAATCCCAAGTCAAAAGCAGAGACCGGTAGTCTGTTTTACCTTATATGAAATTAAAGTGGGGAGGGATAATAGCTGAACCCCTGATGATAGCTGAATCCTTACACAGGCCAGTTTGAGTAGTGTGACAAGAAAATACCTCTGCTTTAACTTTTACAAGTTGAAAAACTTTGAAACAACCATCTATTTTTCTGTTGCTGCCTTCAGCCCTCACTTTCTTCCAAACCACCCCTTGATCTCAGTATCTCAGAATAAATCAGGACTCCTATAAAAGTGGACCCCAAAGAGTTAAATTTTCCCCAGGTGTCCTGGAACCTGAAGGAAAGGCAAGGAGACATATTCATCAGGAAGAGGTATTACACAGTGCTGACCATCTGTCTAATTAGCATTTTCAAACTACCCATCTCTTCCACAAGATTGTTACACTGCCACAAGGAAGGTAGAGAGAAATTGAGAGTCTTTTTCTCTCTCTGATTTTGCTAAATTGTATATAAACTCAAATTTCTTCATCAGGTCCAGTTCCTAATTTCTTTGTTATTCAGGGAAACTAAGGCTGTGAATTTATGAATCTAAGTGCTCAGTGTAGAATAAAAAATGCCAAAAATAAAGGCAGCAATTTAGCAAACAGATGTCGACTACCTGGAGCCAGATCCTCATGACTTTGCAATGTTTATGCAAACATCAAAATGTCAAAAACTAAGTCCTAATGACTCCTTATGCCTTAAGTCAAATGGCCAGTCTCAAAACAAAACAAAAATACCTCCAAAACAGAAACAACAACAACAACAAAAACTGATATTGTAAGACTTACCACCCAACAGATTTATTTCTTATCTAGACATGTAGCCCACACAATGACACACAAGACAGGACCAATTAACTTCCTGTAACTGTAGTCAAAAATGCCCATTCCCTCTCAAGCATTATCTTAGTCAGTGTTCTATTCCTGTGAAGAGACACCATGACCAAGACAATTAGAGAGACAGAGAGATTAAAGCCCACCTCTAGTGACACACTTTCTCCACCATCTTTTAATCCTTCTAATCCTATCAAACAGTTCCTCTGCCTGGTGACTCAGCACTCAAATATATGAGCATATGAGATCATTCTTATTCAAATCACCATAAGTGTAATTCCCATTCTCTGCCCTTGATAATTCTCTTCATTGTGCCCCTGTGTCTCATACAACATATATTCTTTATTAAGTCTATTTTAAATTGACTCTGGTCCAGTTAATACCCAATGTAAATGAACATTTCCTGTCCTGACCCCCCCCCCGCCGTTCCCAAATACCTGGCAGCCACTTCCCAAATTACCACACAGAGGCTTACATTAATTGCAAATGCTCAGCTGATAGTTCAGGCTTATTACTAACTAGTGTTTATACTTTAAACCATAATTCTTACCTATGTTTAGCCACATGGCTTGGTACCATTTCTTAGTTTGGCATTCTCATCTTGGTTCTCTGCATGTGAAAACAACTCTCTTGACTCTGCCCTTCCTCTTCCCAGAATTCTTAGTTTGGTAGCCTGGCTACTGACCAATCAGCATTATAATAAACCAATTTGAGCGTCAAATCTTCACAGTGTACAAGAGGATTATTCCACAGCAACCCTATCCTTGCACCTCTAGCTTGTTCTTCCTGCATAATATCTTGGTAGCTCAGAAAGGAAACACTCTCCTTGCCTCTCCTGGTTATCATTCAGGCGTTATGCTGGCCTGCCCCTTGGGGACTCAGGCAGTATCGGACTGCTCAGGGTCCTGACAATATCATCCACCATGTTGCTAGGTAGTCTCAGTGCACATGTGTTATGCCCCCTTATAAAGGGGGCTCTCGCTCTTCTTCTCTTCCACCGCCCCCCACATCCCTACCATGTCCGGAGATGTGTCTCTTATACCCCCTCCATTCCTCTCCCCAATAAACCCTCCATGTGAGCTCTGTAACATGGGTGAATCTCTCTCCCGCCATTTTTAAAATATAACACCTTTACCTCTTGCTCTTCATAACTTGCAATGGTTGGTTGATTGTCAACTGAACCAGCCTCCTGTGAAACCTGAAAGCCTCCTGGAAGTGACTTAGGTCACAATAACCCACCACAGTGAAGGGTTCCTTTGACTTGTTGTACGCAGCTTTATTTCCCATTTGCAGCTGAAGGAGCCAGGTCAAGGCCACACTTTGGTGGGAAGTGAAGGCAAGAGAAAAAGGAAGTCAACCCCCAGGAGTCCATAAGAGTAAGGGATGGCTTTTCTCCCACTTGGGAGACCACTCATTCTTGACATGTATGTAATCTAGGAAAAGACTCTGAAATTCCTTACATCCAAAGCTTCGCAGCGTTGTCATAGAACTCTTAGTTGTAAGACGTCGTTTGTGCTTTACTAGGTTTACTTACAATAGTCTATCTTCCCTAAACTCCGCCCCGGGTGATATCCTTGATGATCCTTCCTATTTGCTCACATAAGCCCCTGGTTAGCCAGTGTATTCTCTTACAGTATCCACGTTCTTTCCTCTCCAAAATACTACTCAGGCTTTTATCCTGTATAGTTCTAAAATCCTAAGACAGATGAGCAATGCCAGCTGGAGCTCCCCAACATCCCTTTTCAGCTCCGAAGCCGCTAGTCTGGGTTGAGGAGAGGAATGCAGACACACAAAAAAGCCCAAATTGTCTCCCATTAGCAACCAGACCCTGACTATGTGGAGCCTCACCACAGTGACTTGTGATATTATAAAAACCTGTAAAGCCTAATTCCTAATGAACCATGGCACCTAACCCAAGTGGTCAATCTCAAGAAAAGACAGCCGATGTTGCAACGTTTATTTCTTTATAAGACAGTGAGATGATGCATTTGAGAAATAGTTCAGTGGCTAAGGGTGCTTAACTACTTTCAGAGGCTACAGATTCAGTTCCCAGCACCCACAAAAACCAGGCAGCTCACAACTGCCTGTAAACTCTACTTCCATGGGGATCCAACAGTCTCTAGCCTCCTTGGGCAGCTGCATGAACATGACACATAAAATTAACATACACACAAATCTATACAGATAAATAATGAGACTTTCACTTATGTATGTGGGTACAGACTCCTCAGAAATGGCATAGAAGAAAAAATCAGGTAACTTAACTGTTATAAACAAACAACAACAAAAACAACAAAAAACCTATTTCCTGGATATTTTCATCTCTCTCTCTCTCTCTCTCTCTCTCTCTCTCTCTCTCTCTCTCTCTCTCTCTCTCTGTCTCTGAGAATTTATTCACCACATCTCTATCTGTCTTGTAATGTATATTCTTATATTCTTCATTATATTATATAATATACATACACAAACATATATGCATACAATATGCATACATACATCTGGTTTAGTCTGGTCTGGTAAATACTTTTCTGTTTTTGAGACAGGGTTTCTCTATGTAGTCCTAGCTGTCCTGGAACTTGCTATGTAGACCAGGCTGGTCTCAAACTCACAGAGACCCTCCTTGGTGCTGGGATTAAAGGTATGTACCACCATGCCTGGCCTGACAAATGCTTTTACCCCTATGCCTATGGCTTGTCATTCCTGGCGACATTGGGTAACAGAAACACATCTACTTTATAGAATGATGGTTCTGACAACTCCTAGAGTTACAAATAAAAACCCATTCAGACAAGTAAAATAACTGTGTTGTGACTCTGATTTCTGATGCAGTCAACAATGTTTGCTGAACACGCTCTTTATCAATAGCTGTAGAGGCACTGGGAAGAGTCACAAAGAATATAGAGCACCTCTTCTCACAACCCACAGAGAATCAGGAATGCCATGCAACCAATTTGATAGCTGTGTCAGTATGACCTGTGAAAGAAAACAAAACTGGAGTAAGCTGTTAAAAGTCATACCCAAATAGGATCTTACCCAGCAGGGACTCAAGAGATCACTTCTCTGGGAAACTAAATCTGAACTTGAAACAGACAAGAGGAGACTGTTTTTGTTTAAAAAAATATTGACCCCTCACCTGGACCTACAGTATTATAATGAGGGCATCTCTGTCTTCACTTTGTGTTAGAGTTCAGCTCCATCGAAGTTCTGAGCCACAGGATGGAGGTGTGATGTCAGCAAAAAATGAGGAGTCTCACTACTGGTTGTATTTCAAACAGATGATATCGAATAGCTCAAGCAGTTTTTATTTATACAAGTTCTAATGCATTCAAGCATGAGCAATTGCAATACATTTCTCTTTCATCCTTTTTCAAAAACCAGTAACATTTACCCATTTTATTTTCTTTCTCTCTTCCCCACTCCATTGACATCATTGATCTTTACCCCATACCATTAAATTTTATATTACAAGCCAAATGATTATATCTAGCCAGGCACATCTTATTGATACTGTACCCTAGCCAGCATCAAACATGCGGTTATCCAAAAGAGAGAGAGAGAGAGCAAGATAGAGACTCAAGCCTTATGATTAGTCCTTAAGATGTGATATTTTTATACTTTTGTAATCAGCTGAGTGTATGATGCCATATGTAGGTTATTATTTTCAGGTGTGTCAATTTCTAAATAATCAGTGTATCAACTTTATATGGACAACAGTTGTAATCCTAATCTTTATACATTCTGAAAATGGTAATGATTACCTAAGGCTTTAACTGTTGGGACTAAATTTTTATTCTTCCTGGCAGTTTCTATGTGTACTTTTACTTCCAAGGGAACTGGGAGTTTTATCTGGAAAAAGTATCTAACCATTCATATCCTGGTGCCAGAGAGATGTCTGATCTTTCATATCCTTCATCTTTTCCTTATGTGTCTCTTTAAGATTTTATAGTCATCTTTCAAGAAACCATCTCCCAAGTTCTGAAGTTCTTTGTAATATAGTTATGTCTTTATTGGGATAGCTAAGTAAGCAAGAATCATTAACCATAGTGAGTTCCTCCTGCTTACTCAGAATGACTGCAAAGGCAGCCAGGGGTGACTGGAGAAACTAGTTTCCGTGAATGACTACAAAGAGGCTTATTGTTTGCTTCTTTAAGATCAACTTTTGTTCCCAGGTAACTCAGCAACAATCACAGCTGACAAAACAAAACTAAGAATTACCATAAGAATAAGCATAGTGAAAGTGAGAGAGGTCTGAAGCCCAAGAGCTCCCTAAGACCAACACAGGGATCTGCAACATCGCCTCCACAGGTCCTTCCAGGTTGATGGGGTTCTCTAATGGACTTTGTCATAAAGAATTTACAAAACATTTATGCGCTGATCCCATCGGTGATGGCATGGCTTCTGCCAACTTTGGGTCTATTTTTGCTGAAGCCACAGAGATAACAAGCAATAGAAGACACTTGCTCAGCACTTTGGTACAGGCAACCCAGTCTCCACTGTCCCAAGCTGTCCCAAGCTGATGTTATTTTTTCCCTGGGGAGGGGATGATGAGCTGACTGAGATGTTGGCATCTCTAGCCATACAGGGCTATCCCCACAACGGCCATATATCCTAGAGGCCATATAGACAATGTGAAAGGCAAGAGGGCATACCCGTACTCTTGGTCCAGGTCACTTTCAGATCTCAAGGATCTGTTTTTGAGGGAAGGAGGGGGGTGTCGAAGGAGACTGCTCAATAGTCAAGAGTGCTTTCTACTCTTCTGGAGGTTTGTAGTTTGGTTTCTAGCACCCATATCAAGCTTCACACAGCCACCTGTAACACTAGTTCCAGGGAATCTGACCTACTCTTCTGGCCTCCACAGACACACATACGTTCAGCATCCATTCACACAAATACAAGTAGAAGTAGGCAAACTAAAAACAAAAAGTCTTCTTTGAAATATTCATCATCATTCAAAATAAAACTGCCATTGGCATTGCTGAAAACAATACTGTTGAAATGCTGTCCCTCTCTGAAAAGGAAACATGAGGTAGGTCAAAGAGCAGAATGAGGTGGTTTAAATGAGCATGGGCTGTGGTGGTGGCACATGCCTTTAATCCCAGCACTTGGGAGGCAGAGGCTGGAGGATCTCTGAGTTGGAGGCCAGCATGTTCTACAAAGTGAGTTCCAGGACAACTAGAACTGTTACACAGAGAAACCTTGTCTTGAAAAAACCAAAAAGATTAAACATAGGTAAATAATGGCCTTCACAGGCTCATGTAATTGAATATTTGGTTCCCAGTTAGTGGAACTATTTGAAAAGGATTAGAGGTGTGACCTTATCAAAGTCCATAGCTTTCCTAACTAGTTGTCTGCCTTGCAATTGTGGTTTAGGATATAAGCTTTCAGCTACTGCTCCAGGCCTACCTGCCTGTTGCCATGCCCCATGCCATGATGGTCATATATTCTAACCCTCTGAAATCATAAGCCCCTGGTAAACCCTTTCTTCTATAACTTGCCTTGGTCATGTGATCACAACAATAGAACAGTAACTAAGACAAGATCCTTCTCTGGAAAAGAAAGATGAAAATTGAAGGACAGGTGCTTGCTGTCTCAAGCTGTAGGACAAAAGCCAGGAAGTCTCACAGAGCCTATAGATGGTGCATCTGTGGGATAATGGGACAAAGCCTAAGTGTCTCAGGCCAAATGGCAGTTAAGGATAAAACAGTTTTGACAATGTCCTTCGTGACAGCAGGTTTCAGAAGTTTCTTCAAGAATCTGTGTCACCACCTTTGAGACCTTTGAAGCTTGCTAGCCTGGTGGAACTGTGAGTGTCTGCAACCTGTGTTTGCTGGGTGGACTGTAGCATTGGAAAACTGCTTCTTGGATGGCAGACTCATGAGGACCAAACCTTGTGGATACAAAACAAGTGGCCCTACCTCTGAGCAACATCTCCACTCCTTGGTTTTTCCAGACAGGTTTTGGTATGCACCTTAGGATGGCCCCAAATTTGTGACCCTCCTGTCTCCACATCTTGAGTGTCAGGATTTTGTGGGGTCCCCTTTTTCCTTGCAGTCTGTTGGCCACTAGTCCATGAGAATGAAGGGGCAAAAGCAACAACAGCGAGCCTTAGACGGCCTGTGACTCTGGCAGGAATACCTTTCCAGGAGATGTTTTCAGTGTGACAGATCACTTTTATTGCACAGAATAACAGATCTATAGGATTGGTGCATTAGGTGGTATGCTCCTGTCATATGGCACGCCCTATGAAAGCAGCTAGATCTTGTTACTTAATTACCTTGTGGGCAGCAGAAGAGTGTTTGCAGGGAACGGTGTCAAGGTTCATCCTTGAGATAAGTCAGGCATCCGGACCTAGAGACATCCTCCAGATAAGGCTAGGTAGAGAGCAGGAAGACCTGTTGGCGGAGGTGGGGGAGGGGGCCTCCACATTGTGCAGAACCCAAGGAGAGCTGCTAAACTATGGTAGACTGCAACATCTGACCAGTGGGGCTTCCCAACAGGATTAGTCATGCACTACTGCATTTGAACATGTTTTAACAGTATGACACATGTGATACTGTGACCTCAGCTGTTCATTCTCACTTGTACTTATAAATCCAATCAGTAAAATTGGGTAGGCTCAACAAGCTTGATCAGCAAATAGAAACAGAACATTCAACATCAGACCTCACCAGGACCCCTGAGACTAGTAGCACCCACAGACAAACAGGCAGCTTTACCCAAAGGGTCCAAGAGACCACAAAAGATGTCTTGTTTTCTGGGTATGTTAGTATTTCATCACTTCAACAAATACCTGAGAGAAGCAATTTAAGAGAAAGGAAGGTATGCCTTTCTGCGTAGCTGCAGGGGTTTCGGTCCAAGGTTGACTGACTTTATATTTACAGGAGGTGGTGAGATGGAATATCATGGTGAAAGGGTATGCTCAAGCTGAGATGCTCAACTCATGAAAGCAGGAAGCAGAGAGAAACAGATGGGAAAGGGTCAGGGCAAGATAATAACCTTCAAGATCATCTTCCCAGTGACCTATTTGCTCCAAGCAGATTCCACCTCCTAATAATCCATAGATGATGAACTCCCTCATGATCTAATCATGTTTCAATACTGTCACTAGCCAAAGTCCAAGCCTTTAATACATAAGCCTTTAATACATAAGCCTTTATATTGGGAGAGGCACTTCATACCCAAACAACAACCTTGGGGCTCAAGATTTAAAGGTGTGTCAGCCAGCACTATGGCCACATTTATTGATGATGCAGAAAAAACTAAATGCAGGTGGGGTCCATTGGTCTACCAGTGGCTACATCTGCTCAGTGCACAGACATCATTTAACTGAGACTGGATATAAACTTCCCACCCAGTGAACCAAACTCTATGCAGCAGTAACGGATGTGCAGCCTACTGCTGCCATGTACAGTGAGTGTACTTACTCACGGGCTGTTGCCAAGGGCCTGACCATCTGGTATGGCAAAAGGATACATGGACTATTAAGGAATTTCCTGTGTGGTAGCTAGGACTATAGAAGCAGCTTGTCTGCCTAGAAGGACAAATATGTGTCCTTCATAAGAATGGCCATAGGAAAAGCTTCTGAAATGAACATAAATGGAACTGTCATGCCAGTCAAGCTTATGTTCTATGAACAATGATCAGTCACCTAATACAGCTATGGGCTGGATATGGAAGTCCACTTTGGATGTGAACATGGAGTGAAGTCTGTAAGATGATTGTGAAATGGGACATGGCAAAAGACATGTGCGAATGTGATTCTTGCCAATGGACCCAGACCATCCATAGAGAAAAACAAACAGAGAAACTAAGGCCTAGGACATGCCTAGATCTGACAGATTGATCCCGTTTAACTCCTTACTCTAGTTGTGGGCATCAATGGTGTCTCAGTGTCATTGTCAGCTACTCAGGGCATGACAGTTTTAGTTCAGTTTGTTATGAGGATCCCAGAATAACCACAACCACTTTCAAGA